AATGTAGTCACTAAGCACTCTTTTCTTCCCTCTCGTGCATGAAGAATGAAGACACGGCAAGAACATTAGTTTTGACTTGTAGCCGTTAAATATTATAGTGCCTTTAGATTTTCACAAAGCGAATCTAAAAGCTACTGTTTAATTCTTTCGTCTTTCTGAAGATTAATTTGGTGCGTGAAAGATTCTTTTCCTTTCCCTTTTGATGCTTGTTTTCTCTATTGCTTTTCATTTATTTATTTGTTTTTATAATATAGTAAGCAATTTAGACCTCAGTTGCTTCTACTAGGGATGCTTTGCCTAATTATTGGCAAGCAGATAAAGAATTCATGAAAAATTGAATTAACTAGGCTAAAATCCCACCTTCAACCCATTAATTTTTATTTAAAAAAAACTAATTTTGTTTTATTCATAACTCAAGTCTTATTTTAAATTAAACTCAAATTAAGTTTTAAAATTATAATGTTTTTAGCTCTAAACTTTCAAACATATGATTTCTTACACGCTTTATTTATGTATTAGAAAAGTACAATAATTGAAGAAGATATTATGAAATGCTAAAGTATACTTGATATCTCAAGAACATAAAATCTTAGATTTTACAGCCAAGTCATATCTAGAAGTTAAATCATCAACGCACCATATGTTTGCTAGCTTAAACGGTGAAAGAAAAATAGAAGAAATAAAGACTTGAAGTGGGTGAGGATCCGAATGGAGCATCCATGTCCACATCACAAACACTCCTCCTCTCTTCTTTTCTTGCAGAGAGAGCTCAAGGAAATATGTGTATTGATCCTTCGTTCTTGGACATTGATTTATGATTTCTTGTATGAACGAATGCAGGAGACTAAATCAAAGTAAATAAATAAATAAAAAATACTATTATATTCCGCAAGTAATCTGTCTACCTCTTTTACGTATCCAATTAATTATTCTCTAATTTTCTTTTATATATTTGATTGGTACAATGTGAGACTGACGTGTTGATTTGGTTTAATATGAAAAGTTCATTTAATTTATTTAATCAACACCGATATAGTTGATTTCTGATTTCGTGGAAAGCATGCATTTAATTATTGTGTTTTATTTGATTAATTAAATATATGTTTGACGAAAGGTATTTTTTTATTAAGAATATTTTAAAATAATATTTTTTTAGATTTATATTAAAAAAAAACCTCTTAATAAACGCAGGTCAGTGAAGGTAATGGTGATATGAGGGTTGTCCTGACCAAGCCTTTATCACTGGATGGAGACGCCTACGCCGATTATAAAGCTCCTAATTTTCTCCAACGCTTTTTGAGTCTGTTTAGGAATGTACGGCCAGGATCAGATCTCACCAATTTCCAGGCAAGTGATTTTCTTGGGTAAATTATATTTTTATCCTTGTCAATATTTTACTTCGAGTATTATAGTTTGAAATCTCTCAATGTTATCCCTATAGCTCATAAAATCTTCCAATTTTGCTCTTTCTACTCAGTAACTAATAAATTGCTCGTTTTTTACAATTTTTTTCCTTTTTTTTTCCCTGTAAATCCCATCGAGTGACAAATCACAAGCAACGCTTACTTTTGGACCAAAGTGTTGATGAATGTGTCCATTTTGCAAGCTCAGCTTACACCTCAATTCAACATTCCAAAGTCCCAGCTCCAATGTTTTGGTGAATCAGCATACAGCTTTGGCAAAAATTTGCTGCAGCAGTGCAACAATGCCGAGAGCTCACTTGAAAGACTCATCTCTGTTGTAGCATGGAGCATATCCACCATACGTCCTCCTAATTTTGGTGTTGCCCCTTACAATCCCATTCTTGGAGAGACTCACCATGTTTCCAGGGGAAGCCTCAATGTTCTACTCGAACAGGTAGTTGATTCATTTACCAGTTACGATTAATGTTATTTTCTTGTTCTTCAACATGAGTAGGTAGAGTCAATTTATTTTTGTTCGAACCAGGCCGAAGTGGGCAAAATACAGCCCAAGCTCGTTCATTATTAGTGGGGCCTAGATTGATCTGTTAGGCTGTCCGGCTCATTAACAATCCTCGCTCAGGATTCGAAGTATCACTGGGAGAAACATCCGGTGGTGGTTGTGTTATGTGATTAAATTCTTGTGGTTGCAGGTTTCCCATCACCCACCAGTTTCTGCCCTCCATGCAACAGATGACAAGGAAAATATTGAGTTCATTTGGTGCCAACATCCTGTTCCGAAATTCTATGGTAGTATTACTTTTCCTAAACTTAGATTTTGGTCTTCTGGATTTAGCAGCCTTTTCTTTCTTACAAAGATCAATGCTAAATGTAGGTACTAGAGTTGAAGCTGAAGTGCTTGGCAAAAGGCAACTTAAGCTTCTGAACCATGGAGAGACTTATATGATGAATTCACCAAAGCTCATGGTTAGGTTTTTTCCACCTCGGGTTGATTGGATAGGCGATGTAAACATTTGCTGCCAGGAGACTGGTCTTGAAGCTAAGTTATGCTACACAACCAGTTCTCTCTTTGGACGTGGAGGACTCCATTCTGTTAAAGGCAAGATTTATCAGTCTTCATCCATGAAGACCCTTTATGAGGTCGAAGGGCACTGGAACAGGTAGATATATATTCACTCATAAACAGTGTGAGATTAAAGCTAATCTCACTGAAAGACTGTTCCCGAAATCACTTCCTGAAAAAAATCCAACCATTGGATTTATAGGATTCGCTAGCTCAATGCATGAGATTGTTTGGATTTTTTTTAGAAATATATTGTTAATATTAGCATTACTTGTAGTGTGATGAATGTGAATTTCACTTGCTAATCTTTTGAATCCAGTACTGTGAAAGCCAAGGAAATTAATAGTGGTAAGGAGACAATTATATATGACGCAAAGGAAGTGTTTTCCGAGCTCAAGATTGCAGTCGTCGAGGATTTGCAGGTACCTTCGCAGTTATTACTTATTTATCACTTAACGATTTTTTTTCTCTTGTGCTTCATATTAAAATATTGTAAGCAATGATTCTTCATATGACCTACCAAAATTCTGATTTAGACTAAAAACGTTGAGTTCTTTGTTTCGCCAAGGTGGAGAGATCCCTCCCCGCAGTAATCAATACATTGCATTGCTGATAAAAGGCTGATATGCAAGAAATCAAAACATATTTTTAGTTGCGTCTATAGTGTATTTGCAAGAAATCAGGATGCGTGCATTTGACTTGATTTATGATGCTTGTATACCTGCCTGATCATAAACTGCTGGTGTTTTCTTTGTCAGGGAATTCGGCCAACTGAATCAGCTGCAGTTTGGAACGAGGTGAGCAAAGCCATACTAAGCAAAAACTGGACCAAGGCAAAAGAAGAAAAGAGCACTGTTGAGGATAACCAGAGGAAGCTAGCTAAAGAAAGGAACTCAAAGGGAGAAACTTGGGTTCCTGCTAATTTCACTGTATCTTATAGCAAAGAAGATGGCTGGGACTGCTCACCTATTCAAGAGAGAGTCCCACAAGCCCCCATTGTTGTGCCCATCTAATATTATTCTTTGGTCTCTAGTAATCTAGAAGTTCAAAGTGAACAGCATTTACGTGTTATATCAGGTTTCCTTGGACAATAATCAGACAGGATCTAAACCATGGATCTAGTTAATTACATGATCATATGATTAGTTTCAAAATGAACGTTCTGGTTGATCCTAGAGATAGAGCCTCTGCCACCAACGCAAAGCAGGATCTGGTCTTCCCTTGTGTAATCACCCACTCAACTATCATTCTTCCAGACCTTACTCTACCCTGACCTATGTTGCTTTGATATTTCACGTGCTTGAAGGTAGCTGTAGCTGTTTTTTAAAGTAATTTTTTAAAAATATCAACCCTGACCTATGTTGCTTTGATATTTCATGTGCTTGGAGGTTGTTATAGTTATTTTCTAAAGTAATTTTTTTAAAATATATTAAAATAATTAATTTTTATTTTAAAAAATTATTTTTGAAATTAGTGTATCAGAATTATCTAAAAACATCATAAAAATATTAATTTAAAACAAATAAATATTTTTTTAAAAAATACTATTAAAATATAATAGAATTATCTAAAAATATAAAAAAAAATATTAATTTAAAACAAATAAATATTTTTTTAAAAAATACTATTAAAATATAAAAATAAACAGGGTTAATAGTACCTATATCTGATTTCGGATACTCAAACATGGGTATATACACTTGGACACTTCAATTACATAGAAACATGAAACAACTTTTTTGAAAAAATAGCGAAGTCCACCATCAATACTCATGTCGACGGCCATGCATCGGAGGAGGACATGAATCTCGTGTCTGAGCTGTTAAAGTTACGTTTTACTGACGCATACTGTGTATTTCTGCAGGTAAAAATCTGCATTTTGATGTTGAAATCTAGGGACAAAAAAAACCTTACCTATATAACAAGATTCATATTAAACTTCTACTGATATAACTCTAATGTCATTAATTTAGAAAATATTATTACATGAAATATACTATTAAATTTGAGTATATCAGAGCTTATATGTATCAAAGTTTTTTATTTATTTATTTTTTTTTAAAAAATTAAACACAGTAGGTTGTAGGGATTAGTTGTGTTGCGTGCAAGCTGCCCCGAACACCCCATGTAAATCAAAAAAAAACTTTTTATTTATTTATTTTTTTAAAAAATTCTAAATACAGATTGTTTTAGAAATTTTGCTTCGTAGGTCCGCCCGGGTGAGAGGTTCTATAACATACTGATCCTCACAACGAAAAGCTTTTTGTATACTGTATACTGTATACATGGTTGTGAACTGTGAGTATTCAGCAGATGACACCGACCTCACAAACTGGGATATTTCAGAATTTGGAATGGCAAAAAATTCAAGAAATTGAATCGATGAGGATAAGAATGAACCTACAGTACAAATGAAAAATAATAAAAGCTAGCTAGACAACATACCTAATCAATGTTATATCACTCAAAATCTAATAGCTGGCCACCATTGCTAGAGCAGTTGTTCACTTTTAGAGCTACAAGAATACAGTATACCTCAAGCTACTATTTGGGGTCTCGAAATCCATTTCCCGTAGGTCTGATTCAGTCCTCCGGTTGAAAGACTTCTCTCTGATGGTATCCAAAACCGGCTTCCATGACCTTCTACCCGATGATCTACACAATGGATTACTCTGGCCCGACAAGGAAGTAGTTCCTGAAGAATTATCCTGAGTCTGGCAACACTTGCTAGATTTTGCTATTGAAGAGAGCCTCTTCACTAAAGCAAGAAAGTCCACAGGAGAAACATCAGGCTGTAATATTGAGTACGGAAGCAAGAAGTAGAGTTGGCCTGTTTCAAGCTGAGCATCAGGCTTTAATGGTTTGGACTCTGTAGAAAGAAGCTGAGCAGCAGTGAAGACAAGATTCTTTGAGGGTGATTGGCCCGTAGTCACTTGGCTAACTGAAACGGGATTTTGAAATTCTTGAACATAACCATTCAGGTGAACTACACGAATGTTGTTGAATTCTGTAGAGGATTTGCATGACAAACAACAGCCCATTTCTCCTTGTTTTCTCTCTTTCTCAATGGATTATCGTGTTTCTAAGGAATGGAGTCGTCTATTATTGTATACCATGTATGACCTGTTCGTTATAAACATACATATATTGGCTACTTGTCAGGCCAACAACTATGTAATATTTTATTGAAACGGAGCCACCTGAGATTTATATTACTTTGTTTGCTATACAATGTGAGGAAGTCTTCTAGTCTAGAATCAAAATGAAGTGAAGTAGGATTAGGGTAACCAAGTCCACTATAAAATTGCAGGTTACTTTAATGGTAAAATTGACTTTGCACCCACGAGAAAAGGTATTTGGTACCGGAATTGATGGAGTCTAAATTTATGTTACTGGATGATTTTGAATAATTAGATATACATTTATAATTAAATAAGAATTTATTATGAATAAATTATATGGGTAGCTTAAAAAATACATTTATGAATTAATAGAATATGTGTAGATCCAAGAAAAGGTATGATGATGTTAAACTAAAATAATTGCTAAAAAATTTATAACTTTTAATCTAATTATTTGATTATGCAGAAATCTATATAGAAATTTTAGAATATATTTTTATAACAATAACTATATTTTTTATGCATCATTAGATATTTAGGTATCAAAAAACTCATTCAAACTTCTAGTTTCGACAATTTTGTTATTTTCCATTTGTTTTTCAGATTTTTTAATTTATTTCATGTTTTATATTTCTTTTCTTTATATTTTTGTATTTTTTTCTTAGTTTAGGTAGAATTTAAATTTGAAGGTTTATTCTCTTTTAAAATAATAACAATGAATTTTGTTTTCTAGGTTTATAAAATCTTAAAAAGACCAAAATCATATCTATGGCCCATTTTACTAATTAAAACTCTTTTTTTTTTTTTTTTTTTTCTGAATAATAATAAATAATAATCACAGCAAATAAAAA